TGATGAAGAAAGTCTATGGTGAAATGCTATCAGTGGAATTTGATGGAACTGACTATCTTTTTATGGTCGGAGGGTTAGGTCCTACACCAGCTGTCAAACATCCTCAGTTTCAATATGAACAATCTAATGATGGTGCTTATACTAATGAGCAGTTACTTTATAATCTATCTAATGGTGAGTTTAATTTTTGTAATGTGTTAGAGTGTGTTTAATGACATTTTAAAATAATAATAATTATTGTTTTTATTTTTAGGACAATTCACTGTTCCATCAGTCAGTGGACAGTGTTGTCCACCAAGTAGTTTTTTTACAATCAACAAAATAAATGGAAATAAAGGAATAATGCTTGGAGGAGTAGTAACTCATGATGGTGATCCTATACCTTGTAATAATGTGTTCATATTTAATGTGACACATAGCACAATAGTAAGTTATTACTAAGTATACATGTGCACTATCTCCAATGATAAAAAACTTCATTAATATTAACACTGAAACAAAACAAATGTAGTTCATAAAAATAGTCATAAAAATCTTATAAATCCTCTCTGACTTTAATGCTAATCCAGCTGGGCCATTGATGCTAGGAGCTAATTAAATAATTTTGTCCTCACCCTGAATTTATTGTTCATCTACTGTATTGCCCTTTACTTCAAGAAGCAAAACTTTGATGGTTTTTACATTATTATTAGCATTTAACAACGAAATTAATGTTTCTCCAAAATGTGAAATCACTAGCACTGCTAATTGGCAAAAGTTATTTTCCGGCACAAAAATTCATTTATATAATGTTTTATGTATTTAGCATTGGGAGAGTATTAAAAAAGGATCAATATCTGGTGAGGGACTCTGGACCAAGGAGAGATGTAATCATGCTAGTGCTATTATCAATGGTGTCTCTACCTCACCTGCACTAGTAGTGATTGGTGGATACGATAATAACAATCAACCAGTCAATGAATGTTTATTATTTGATAATATCACTACTGGTCAGTTCAGTTGTAAGAAGGTATGTAAATAATGCATTTATTATGTAATTTAAAATTTGCGGGCTTGAATAATATTAATGCATCTGCATGCAAATTAAACAGCACAATGATTCCCATTGATTC